CCGGGCCCGCCTGGGGCCGCGCCGGGCCCGCCTGGCGCCCGCGGTTCTCTGAGCGGGCTGGAATCCATAGGGCGCTTCAGGGCGTTCCACGGGGGTGGCAGCCAGAAGGTCATTCTTGCTCTCCGTGCTGCTGTCCTTTCCAGCAGCTCTGATGTGGAGTCAGGGGCGCTGTGCTCTGCTGTGCCTGATGGCGTGTGGCAGAGCTACAGGCAGGCAGGAGATCATCCCTTCGGCGCAGGGTGTTAAGGGAAGACTGGGTTTGCTTATTCCCCTGTCGTCCTTAGGCCTGACCGTGTTTGATTTGAAGCTTCCCGTGCTGGCTTATGCAGGTGGTATTCCTGTTTTTCCAGGAAAACCAGAAAGTGTTCATCGAACCTTTTATTCATCTTGCAGTATTATCAGTGCACATTCTTTCTATGAGTACATACAAGACAGGAGTTAAAAACACGATGGTTATGTGGAATTTGCTCTGCTGTGCTTCTGTGACTGAAGTCTAGAGTGGAGAAGTGCTCTGAAATCAAGCCCTCTATCACCAGAGAAGTTTCTTGGCAGGAGTAAGGATAAGTTGATAGTATTGCCTTTTGTCTTGGCAGGTTAGAACAGAATTCAATGAATCAAATTAATCTAGTTCTGTCTTGACATAATCTTCTGTACTAGGCAGGGTGGTTGTTTGGTATCCAGGATACAGATCCTTAGAAAAAGATCCTTTAATCTTAAGTCATACATCTGCAGCAGGATTAATTCCACCTGACTCGGGATAGAAAGTAATGGTTTTAAATTTACTCAGGCTTTTTGTTAAATTTAGCCAAGTAGTGCAATTTTTGTGTGCAAGTTTATCGGACATTTCAATGCAAAAATGAGGTATTGCTGCACATTTGGTAATGCTTTAGAAAATTTCTGCCACAGTCAGGTTATTACACTGCATTACTGCTGGTTGAACTTTGGACTGGTTTGAGAACTTAAGGTTTTAACCGAAAGTAGTTCCTCTGTCAGAGAATCTGTCAGATCATGTGATTTTTCGGTTGCAGTCTTCAGACCAGTCAGATTTTTTTCACTCTGCTGTAGGAAAGGAGGTTGCAGTTGCAAATAACATGGAGTTTTCCTCCTGTAGTAAGTTGAGCTCTCTATACTAAGCAACATTTTAATTTTCTGCTTCTGATGGGATAGCTTGTTCAGGGAACGGGTGCTGAAATACGCAGTTGTTAATCACTTGTTAAACTGACCAGCTTGGCTCTTTTTCTTAATACAGTATAGATTAACTGGTGGCTATCCTATAGCATGTACAAGTTATGTACATTGCCCTTCTCCCAGTTGGCTTCTGGCCTGCTTGTGTAAAAGGTTGCAAATAGCTGTACAAAGCTTGTCATTCTGTGTTCATTTAAGGCATTATGTATGTCCAGAAAATAACTTGCTGTCTTGGAAGTAAATCCCTGACTGAACTAAAGTTTACACCAGGAAGAACCAAGGAGATTGCAGTAGTCTTCTAAGTTCTTTCTTCTTATTCAGACCTTTGAGGTTATGCAGCCTGTGCCTAGGTTAACATGGAAGCTTGAGGTACTTTCTTCATGTTGCTGAGCTGCATTTCCCTGGTAGGTTAGTCACTTGTTTGAACTTGTCTGAGTATAGTCTATTAAAATCTATAACCAGCTGCTCTTTCATATTGAGGCAGATCCAATAAATCATTGTACAGCAGTTTACCCCTCTGATTCTTCCTCTGCCACTTCACATGGGTGACTCTGATCAGTTTATTACTGCTTTGAAGTTTAAATATTAATATAAATATATAGATTTATAGATACAGTGTATTTTCCTATGTATAATATTTATACATACTTTTTTTAAAAAATAACATTTTCAATATATTTATTTATTCACTAACATTTGCTGAATGGCCTTTAATGGAAAACCAATTTTTTTCTACCTTTTTTCCCCCCCCCAGTAGTTTGTACTGTACTTAAGTACTCAAGGGAGAATTGTTATGGATACCTTCAGATACTATTCTTCATTTTAATGCACTTTCTTATTCTCACTGCCCCTGTACATGTGATAAATAGGTGGTGCGGGTTCAATGAATTTTTTTCTTTGTAATTATTCCTTTACAGTAAGCACTTAACAATATTACTCGACAAGTTGTATCTCTAAAAGGTGTGTAAGCATGATCCATATAAAGGGAAGGTAAAAGGAGAAGTAAACTTTCGCAGATAGGTCTGGCTCATGTTACCCAACCCTTATCACCTGTCTCTTAAACGAAAAAATACCATCTGGTATGTTTTAAATCAGTTGGGTTTGAGTTGGCTGGATTTCTGGCTCATGTTACAATATTTGCCTTGTACAAATTGCCATTATTAAGCACTGTATTTGTTTTATCATCTTACTGATTACCTTTTGGCTCTCTGACTAGAAGCTTATGTTATTTCAGGAGCACGTAAATTTAGAATAGCTGCACAGTGTCACAGTTACAGATGGCATTGGTTAGATTTCAGAAAACAAAGGGAGATAGGATAGTTGTGGAACTCTTTAATGCTTGTTAAAATTGTCCTGTCAAACCATGCCTTCTTGAGGAATAACTTCTTTTTTTCTTTTCTTTAGATCACTTAACTGTAACTGAGCCTGTTGCTATACTGAAAGCGGCTGAGGTATGGGGTGCTTTAAGAGGTAAGCTGGTACTTTTCCCTATATAGTTAATTATTCTAGGCTTATACAAACTCCACAAGAGACTAGGACCTGGCTGACTACTGAGCCTTGCCCTCATTACTTCATGAGAAGTAAGCTTGGGTTTTGAGGCCAAAAGAATACCTAGATGTGTGTTGGGCCAGACCCTCCATCCCTATGCATCCAGTGGCACATTGCAAGTACACTTTTGCTGTTCCTGAAATCAGCCAAGCCAAACAGATTCTGGGTGCTAAAAACCTTTCGGTTCTACAGTGTGAACAAATTACTCTCTGACTGCACCTGATAACCACTCATGCTGGTCACGTCACCAAAAAGACCATAATGTTGAAGTTTCAATCTGCTCTTCTTACTGGAATATTAGCCTAAATAAGCAGATTTTTCATGCTGAATTAGAAGCTTCACCATTTCCAGAAATTACAGGAATAAACTCATGACAAGACCAGAAATGCCTACCTTACTCTCAGTAACTTGAATACTATTCAAGGATTAATTTGGTACAGCTGAGCTGTAGTGCTAATAGAGGGTTTGAATGGTTCTCCCTTCAGAATTTCTTTAAATGTGGTGCTCCAGGAATTGAGAAAACTGCACTAAAGAGAGAAGAACTAAGCGTTACAAAGCATTCTTTCCAGCTGTGTGAATGCCTGTAAATAGTTATGGTCCTGTTTTTAACTAAAACTTTTAAGTAATGGGTTGTACTCCAGATCCTTTTCTTGAATTTTTTTCCAGGTTTGGAAACCTTCAGCCAGTTGGTTCATGAAGATGACTATGGAAGTGTAAGTATAACTAATAACTAAAACCACAGTGCTTTATACAGACAACAACACGGTATCTTACGTGCGCTTCTAAAAATTGCAGATATACTAGTTTTGTTAGGTGTTTTTTCAGGAAGTGATCCTTGAAAAGCTGTTAACAAAATGAAAAACAAGTATTTCTTGTTTGAAACTATCAATCTAAAATGGCAATTCTATTTTTTCAATCTTGTTCTTGTAGTTTCTTGTCAATGAATCTGAAATTGATGACTTCCCAAGATTTGCTCATAGAGGAATCTTAATAGACACTTCAAGGCATTATTTGCCAGTGAAATCTATTCTTACAAACCTGGTAAGTGGGCAGTTTTGTATCGTTAACAATGAAGGCTTTTTTTTGTGTTTTCCCCCTGAAGTAGGTAGCAGCTGAAGCTGGTATGAAAGGAGAACCTGTCTCCTCTAGCTGACTTCTAAAAGGTCAGAGTGATCTTAGCTAAGTGAAGGTTAGAACATACACTGGAGAGGAACTGAGTGGGCAGACACAATGATTAGTGAACATGTAAAGGAGGCTGGGATTTGTGGTACCTTAGGCTTTTTTATTGCCTGAACCAGGTCATGTATTTCTTGGAAGTGTGTTTTGAGACATCTGATGTCACCTAGCAATGCATGGGAGATCTTGCAAATCCTGGCTTCAGTGCCAGTGACTGCAGGAAAGTTTCAGGCTTTTCAGTAGCTAGGCTTTGGTAGTCCTTTCTTAGGCTGCTAAGAGCGAGCCATTAAGTAGTACAGAGCAAACAGGGAAATTGGAAATTTTCACTGAAAGCTACTGGTTTCTTGTCAAACAGAATTTTCTCCAAAATCTTAAGTAAGCACGCTAAGAACTGCGTACTGCCACTATGATGGAAAGGTGATTAATTTGTGTAATCACAGCAGCCAAAGCTTGAGTCTTCCTGTTTTGTACTCCCCCTTTTTATTGAAATGCTTGTAGCAGGTCCGTTTGGTGGGTTGAAATGGAGATTATTTGAGTGGAGGAACAGGCAGATCCTGTCTTGTCTCTGTCTTGCTTTTCCAAGATGAAATAGTATTAGAAATTTCCCTGCTATGTTGCAGAATTTTGCAGAGCAGGTTTAAGATGGGCAGGAAGAGAGTCTTAAGAACGACAGGCAAAACTAGTCTTAATTTCCACGGTCCTCCTTGAACTATGATCAGAACTTGCCCCTCCATAGGTATTTACCACTTGTGTTTACCTGTAAGATCAAGCCCTGTTCAGCAAGTAGTGTTTGTGTAGTGTTTTTTTGCAACTGAGGGTGTTTCAAAGATTCAACTACTTACTTTAGTCAGTATTTGTTCTCTTTTCTAAAAAAGGCAATGATATTCAAATAATAGCTTGATTTTTGAGAGTTGCATTTCTAACCATTTTTGTGTTGCTGTTCTGTTCTTTTTCCCTATGTCTGGGCCTCTGATACTTTCCCAGAGCTACATTTTATGCCATTTTGCTGGTTTAAGAACAAGTGTGCATTTACTCCCACCTCTGTGCCTGCTTGAATTGATGCTAACCTAGTAAAAATCCAGAGTAATCCTTTCCCTGACATGCAGTAATTAGATGCTTAAGGCAGCAGTTTAAGTATATTTCTTGTGTTCAGCTGCTGTACTGTATTTCCAGGAAGGGCATTGTCCTTGAGGAAGGAGTGACTGAGGTGAAGGTCAGGAGACAGTAAGTTTCCAGAGATAATCTTTCCACAAAGAAAATTATAGAAATGCATGAAGACGTGATAACTTAAAATACTCCCATCTAATAAAACAGATGAGGTAATTTTGGGGAATGGACAAGTTATAAGTCTTCCTTTGGAATTGGTGGGAGTTCCTGAAGAGATTTTGCCACATCTTAAAATACAGCTTGGTTAAAAAAAAGAGGGGAGGGAGGGGTAGAAATAATTGTTGTGGCAAGGGATTGGAAGCAACTGTTGTGCAATTACTCAGTTACATGTAGAGAGCAATTAATCTATCTGCTCACAGCATGCAACACTGCTAGTGACTTAACAACTTGCATAACTCATTGTATCTGTGTAACTGTCTATCTGAAGTCATGATTCTAAAATAAGTGTGTTAACATATACATTTATCTTCAAGTTCAAAAAAAGGGAAGTACTGGCACTGTAATGACTGAAAACATAAGGGGAACTCTTATCTTCTGTGGGGAAAATATGTGGTTCCTTTTGCAAGAATTTGAATCAGTTTCTGTAGAAGTCACTAGCAAGCAGAGGTGTTCTGAATAGTAGGAAGCACTCTCAAGCTGTTTACTTTTCGAGTCAAAGTATTTAGGTAGAAAAGTATCAGCTTTTCTGTAAGCTGAAATACCTGATGACACATGGAGAAATACCCAGATATGTTCTGAAGTGGAAGAAGCTCATAAGCCATTTATAGCGGTTCCTCTTCTGCCAGCCAGTGTAGCATGATCAGATCAAGAGCATGTTGACAGGAGTGGGGCAGAGGAATGGAGCAGTAGTATAAGCAGACTGGTGCATTTTGATGTATGCTTCTAGGATTTGGTGAAATATGCTATGCTTTTTCTTTGTTTTCTTTTTTTCTTAATTGTTGCAGTAGGCTTGCAGGATATCACATGGGACCACACCACCTTTTTTGCATAGGTTTTCTGGGAGAGTGAAGTGCTTAACTATACTGTATTGCAATGTTTCTTGCAGGATGCCATGGCTTTTAACAAGTTCAATGTTCTCCACTGGCATATAGTAGATGACCAATCATTCCCTTACCAGAGTATTTTTTTCCCTGAGTTAAGCGAAAAGGTAAGTAAACATCATTGGAGCAGGGTGGAAAGGCAGAAATGTGTCATGTATTTCATGAGAATAAAATGCAGAGCCTACCAATAGATGAACACACCTTCTTTGGCTGATTATGAAACAGTACCAGAGGACTGGTAACCAGCATGTCCAGATGTAGAATCCTACCTGAGAGTCTGTGTGGACCATGTTCAAGTCTTCCTTGGTTGTTCCATGGTGAATGACTCTCCTAACTTTTCTGTGCACATCTGCTGGTGATCCTCAGTGTTTGCAGGCCCTCAAGCAGTAATGGTGTGCAGACAGCCTGTTGTGGTGAATACTACTTGGGTTTCTGTTGGTTTTTCAATTTAAATGGTAGTCTTTGTACCTTGCAGACAAATGTAAGGGAGTTACTTTGCCCTGAGATCTACTGAACTTTACGAAACATGTATAGGAGGTCCAGAAGTGAAGAGGTTTTCTAAAACAAGTGCAGTGCAATGTATCTGTTTATTTCCTGATTCTCAGCAGATACTGCTAATTAATTAAAACCATAATGAGGTTCTTGCTCAGCCACAGTAGAGTAGCAACCAAATCAAGCATGAATAATTAAGTAGACTGAGCCTAAGCACAAGATTTGTGATTCTGTTTTAAAATGTTTACTAGAATCTGACTCTTCTGAAAACAATGTAGGCAGTGCTTGAGCAGATGCCATGAAGAAGTTTATCTAACATCTACGTGTTTAGAATTATAATGTAGTCAGATGGTTTTTCCTAATAATGACTGTGGAGTTCTGTTCCTCACTGACAGCTGGAGAGAGGGAGATTGCCTTTGTCTCAATAGCTGCCTTTTGGAAAGGCTTCTTGTTTAACATTGGGTTTTTGAGCACCTCTGCTATGGAAACCAGTTCCAGATAAATGGAAGCTTAAGGTGCTATTGTCAGGAGTCATGATACTTTTCTGGCATAGTTTGGCTCTTTGGCAAGCATCTATTTTCACCAAACTGGATCATTTGTCACATTTTTTGGCTGTGTCAAATTCAGCATCATGAAACAAATGTGCCCTGCTGCTAAACTGGGCACTGTATCAAAACGGACAAACAGAGGTGTTGGAAGACACAATTCTTTCTGACTTGGCAGAATTTTTCCATTAGTCCTGTATGTCATGTAACAAGGGCCCTGTATTTCAGAACTAATGATGCAGAGATGGAGGGGATAACTAGTTTGCCTCTGTACTGAAGAAGTGAAAAATTTATCTTTCAAACATCTGATTAAATAGAACTGTTTTCTTTAGTAACTTGAGAGTTAAGGAGGAAGGGGTGGTCTTCTCAGGAGATTTGTCTAGGTGTGGAAAAAGGGTTTAATTTTTGTCAGGTTTTTTCCCCATTAATCAGCCAAAATGTTCTCTCAGTGTAATTGCACACATGATACACTAGAAAAATCCAGCTTGTAAAACTGCTCTCCAGTCTAAATTATAACACTTTAATCCCAAATTTATGAACTGTGTCGTAAACTGTCTTTAAATATGAATACTTTACAGGGAGCCTACTCCTATAACCACGTCTATACTCCTACTGATGTCCGTGTGGTGATTGAGTATGCCCGGCTCAGAGGCATCAGGGTTATACCAGAGTTTGATACCCCAGGACACACGCAGTCTTGGGGAAAAGGTATGTCCAAGGAACTACTAATGGTTAAAAGATCATGGTAAGCGGGGTGTAGCAAGCAAATGAACTTGTTAAAAAGCAGCTTTTAAAATGCTTTGAAAGGTCCTTGATAAGAGGTAAGAAGTGGGCAGACTCAGTGATAGGCATGACCTTTACATGCTAGACTGGAGAAAGCTGACACTTGCTGTGCTGGACGTGTGTGCAAAAGCAGATATATTCTGTCTGTCTGAGATGTCATGTTTTTGTCATTTCCCCAGCCAGTACTCTTGAGTTCAGACTAATAAGGCTGTGGCTAGAAATAGTGAGCTGTCATCTCTAGAGTAGAGATTTTTGCTTTGAGAAGATTCTTTCAAAGTGCTTGATGTTTCTGTTATTAGTAAAGTTATAATTTGCCAGTGTACAAAACACAGCAAATGTGGCTGCTGCTTCACTCTCTGTATTCTGGGTTACAGAGTAATACTCCTCTTGACAGAAAGTGCTTGAATCCTGAGAGTAGTGGTGTTTGCATGTACTCGAGGACCAGGGAACTTTGTGACTTAATTCAAGGTGTAGTAAAGATTCTTCTAGTGCTTCATAGCTTTGGCTTTAGCCGTGGTGTGAATCTTGTTCTTATTCTGTGGGGATGTGGTCATAATGTTGGAAGATGCTTCTCACTAGTTTAAAATGATGGGGAAAGGAAAAAGGCAAAAACTAAATTTGCCTTTTTTTTTTTTTTTGGATGTGATTCCTATAAGCCAGTCCTGGCTTTGACTATAAACCTGGGTAGTTACACTTCGTTTGCACTTAAATTCAAGAAACTGAAGAGAAGTCTTAAGGAACAGGAGTAGGGTCATTGAAGCAATCTACCACTCAGGCACTGTTAGGGGAAATGTGCTCAAGAACCAAACAGATGGTCAGGAAGGTTCTGCTGCAGCTACAGTTCACCAAATAAACTGAATGTGGGAATCTGCAACCTACATAAACTTTTTCCTGTTTTGCTGTCCTGGATCACATTGTTTCAGATACCTTGTGCAGTGCTTAGTTTTGATGTCTTAGCCTTTCTTTCTTGTGTAGAGGTAAATTCCTAGCAGACTGAGGTAGGACATCTACCTTGGGTCATATACTTCCCACCTATTTAGGTGTTAACAAAGGAGAGTAATAAAAAAGGAGGCCTCTGGAGAATACTCATTGTATTTGGCTTTCTTCCTACATCTTTTAAAGCTTTTTCATTTAAGTAGTCATCTCAAAACTGTTTTCTAAGCATAGTGACATGTTCCAGAAATGAGCATGTGATAAATCACAAATCTAAAAATCAAGAGTCCTGATTTCCAGATAGGAAGTACTTCAACCTTGGGCAAGTTGTTTTATTTCATACTACCTCTACTTGATTATACTTAGAATACATGATCATTTAAGTAATGAATATTAGCCTTTTACATATGTATAACTGCCTCTTCCTGCTAGCAAAGTTAGCATACCAACATGGAACTGAATATCCTGTATTAATTGTTTCTATTAGGTCAAAAAGATCTTCTCACCCCCTGTTACAGTGGACAACAGCCAACTGGGTCCTTTGGACCTGTAAATCCCATTTTGAATACAACTTATGACTTCATGGCTAAATTCTTCAAAGAGATCAGCAGTGTATTTCCAGATGCATACATTCATTTGGGAGGAGATGAAGTGGACTTTTATTGTTGGTATGGTGACAGCTCACAGAATAAAACACCTAGTGCCTCTTGAACTTGCCTAAGCACGTCAGTTATGGAATTCAGTTGCCTGAGACATTTTTCACTGCTTAACCCAGAGATCTCCACTGCTACTTCTCTATTTACAGGCAGAGCATTTGCAATCCTCAACAAGCAAGTGATGTGCAGAATTTTGCTTTGAGTAGTAGTTTCACAAACACTGGATTTCTTTATGAAAATTAACCTGGCAGAAAGGAGATCTAGTATGGCAGAAAAGTACTACAGGCGATAATCAGCGTTTCAGTGTTGCATGTTAATGGAAAAGCAGTTATTTCCATTTATTTCTACCTTCTAGAAAATCTGCTAACATTAACTACTACAGTAATGAATCTTGTGTGCTTGTATTAAAAGTACATTGTGTTTTAACCGAGTTCTTAATTTGCTTGTGGATTTTTAATATTTCAGAATCTCTCTGCTGGAATAGCTAATAATACAGAATTTGGAGCAGATCTGGATGAGTGTTCAAATTGATCTAGTTAGTACTTGTGTGTTCTCTTGAAACATCAAATCTCAATGCTCAGAATTTGTTTTATTTTTTTAAAAAAAGAGAATATTTTTGATAAATGCTTTCTCATAAACGTTTCATTTGGGGATGTTTTCCCAAATCCTTGATGTTACTCCTACCAATCCCCTGGTACTATGGCTGCTCAGTTTGCAGACCTGCTGGAAACCTTCCTACAAAATCCCAGAGAAGACAGGAACCTCAGAGCACTTAGGAGCTTGAGGCAGTCTGTCAGATACTGCTTCAGAACAGGGGCTCCAGTAGTTCTGCCAGAGAAATAGGACTATTTATTTCAGGTCTGGACAACACTGTTTCAAAAATACAGAAACGACCTTAGCCCTGTTGTGCATTCCAGGCTATGGCATGCCTAAGACATCAGCTAGTGTGCCCCTGCATAGGTGGAAATAGTTGGGAAATCTGGTTTAAAACACAACAAAATTATATTTTGTTTTTAAACTTTCTTTGTTGTTACTATTTAAGGAGATCCAACCCTGACGTGAAGCAGTTTATGAAGAAGCAAGGATTTGGCTTGGACTATGCTAAGCTGGAATCTTACTATATTCAGAGGTATGTTGTTTTTTTAATCCTTGCTCAGCTTTTCACAGCCAGTATCTGGGGGTGGTGTTGAGGTGCAAATACCAAAGCTGATTTACATTTGCCTGCATTGTTTTCAGAAATTGTTGTGTATTGAGGACTACACACGGTTTTATTTTAATACACTGAATGTAAAGTTTACAGCTTTAAAAAGTGAGACACAGATGTGTAGGCTAGTGCTACACACTGAATGTTTTGGGTTTCTGCTGTAATGTCAGCACACAGGGTGGGGAGGAAAAATCCTAAGGTTTTTTCAGCCATTTTACTTCTCTCATTCTTAAGTAACATGGATTTAGACACCTGTCTAAGTTGCTGGTAGATCTGAAAATCAGTTTGTGTTACTGAACATGTGTATCCTTATGTATGGGAGAACCTACTCTTTGAGGCAGAGCACTGAAGGCCAAACCTAGGGAGAACTGGTTTTCCTTGATCCCCTATGCAGTGCTGGAAAAGGCTTGATGTGCCGTAGGGCACATGTGTGGGTACTTTGTGTGTCTGTACTAAGTCACTGAAGTTCACAAATATTATCTTATTTCTAAATTCTAGGATTTTGGAAATTGTTTCTTCCTATAACAAAGGATACATGGTCTGGCAAGAAGTGTTTGATAACAAAGCGCAGGTAAGATGGGGAAAATAAGTAAGATGATAGTGCGCAACGGCGCAGTTTTGTGGGAGGTTTCTAAAGTAGGCTATTAAGCAGTTGTGGTTGTGTCTCTTAAGAGTTAAAGCTAATCTGCAGACTTGAGCAGGTTTCCCCAGGTTTGGGGCCTGCCTTGAAATTACCAATTATTGAACATGTAAAACAAGTGGAACAGGAACACCAGCACTGAAGTGCTTTCTAAAGGTGAACACAGATGCTATCCTTTAACGCTGTAAAATGTATAGTAAAGTTTCTATGAGTCTTCAGGTAACTTTTTTCTCACTTAACATGTGTATCTAGTCTACTAATACCAGGTGCTCAGCTTTTCTGATAACTGCTGCATGTAGGAACCCTCTTAGGGCCTTAATTGTCTGTAGTGTAACCTAGGCTTCAGTCTAGTGTGAACTCTAAAACTAGCTAAGATTTCATCAGTTTTAGACTGGGGGGAAGGGCAGGAAGTATCTTCCCAAGTGCTCTGTTTCTAAACAAAATACCCCCCTCCCATTCTTGAAATCCATTGTCCTTTTTCCTGATAACTGCAATTAGAACTGTCTTTAACCCTTTGGGGGGTTTGTTTTGTTTTTACCTTTTTTTAGCTCAAATCAGACACTGTAGTTGAAGTGTGGATGGCAAACAACTATGCTGATGAACTGAGCAGTGTCACTAAAGCTGGGCACACAGCTATCCTGGCAGCTCCCTGGTACTTAGACTACATTAGTTATGGACAAGACTGGAAGAAATACTACAGAGTTGAACCACTTAGATTCCACGGTTTGTTAACTTTTTAATATGCATGTTCCATGCAAGAAAAGTCTTTGGTTCATAACTTGTAACTTGTAAATTAAAAGAATAAGGCTATTTAGTGTGGTCATGCAGTTATTAATGATTAGATACACTGTAATCAAAGCACGTTAATGTCAGCTGGAACTCCTCAATTCTTATATTTGAAAAATGCAATTTTTCATTTCTTACAGGGAAAACTGTTACCTCAAGCATCTGGCACTGATGCTTGTGTGAGACAGGATGCTGGACTAGGTGGACAGATGTATTACGTAGTAGAGGAACAGCTTTGCAAAATGGCTGTAGGTAGACAGCCGTGGAATTCATACGTTAGCAAGCTGCTAGGGTGCTAGACAGTTCTAGAAGAAGACATGTTCCCTCCATCTGGCTGAAGCCAGTGCAAACATCTTGTGGTTTGCCCAGGGCTTTCATTGTGTGCAGGGTAGCTCTCACAGCTGACTGGAGAGAACACCTGACTTCTGTTGCTTTTTCAAGGTATGTTCTGTGTGATAGAATGAACAGTTATAATCGGGACTGAAATCTGAAGAATGCAAGAATGCTGAGCAATGTCTTCAGAAGATAAGTTAAAATCCCTCTGGAAGTGGGTTGTCTGGGCAAATGGCCCGGTGGTTCTTACATTCAGTAGCAAGACTACCAAAACACTAAGTTAGCACTCAGGATAGATTATTATATGTTATTATAGCTGCTAAAACAAGCAGCTGAACAGCAATCCTCTCCGAGTACTGGAAAATTACATTTGTCATATGTGCCCGTCTTCCGGACAAATAAAAATTCTAACTTTCTGCTTTGAATTCAGGATCTGAAGAACAGAAAAAGCTTTTAATTGGTGGAGAAGCCTGCCTTTGGGGGGAATTCGTGGATGCAACTAACATCACACCAAGATTATGGTAGGAAGTACTTTCTTTGGATTTTAGAAAGCTAGCTACAAGGAGCATTAATTAATTCAGCAGG